AGAGCAGGGCCAATCAGGGGGTTGGGGCACTCCCCCCTGTCACACTCAGGGCCGGGCTGATGGGGAGGTTGTGGCTCCACCGCGTCACACACAGATCAGGGCCCATGGGGGGGTTGGGGCGCCACACCCTGTCACACAGAGTGCAGGGCCCATCAAGGGGTTGGGGAGCTTCCCCTTATCAGGCACAGAGCAGGGCCGATCAGGGGGTTGGGGCGCCTTCCCCTGTCACAAACAGAGCAGGGCGGATAGGGAGGTTGTGGCGCCGCCCCGTCACACACAGAGCCACAGAGCCACAGAGCGATCAGGTGGTTTGGGCGCTGCCCCGTCACGCTGCTCCATGGGCCGGGAGGCCTTGTGGCTCCAGTGATCCCAGTGCTAAGAGGCCTCGCTGCTCCGCTGATCCCGGTGCTAGGAGGACTCGCGGCTCCACTGATCCCAGTGCTGGGAGGCATATTACCCTTTTACTATATAGGATAGAGGCCTGGTGCTTGGGTGGGGGCCTGCTGGTTTGCCCTGAAGGGTGTCCTGGATCAGGGTGGGGGTTCCGCTTGGGTGGCTGGCCAGCCTGGATGAGGGGATGATGGCTGTTTGCAGCTGGTCACACCCCCTTCAGGGTGGGGGTCCCCACTGGGGTGCTTGGCCAGCCTGGGTGAGGGGATGATGGCTGTTTGCAGCTGGTCACACCCCCTTTAGTGTGGGGGTCCCCACTGGGGTGCCTGGCCAGTCTGGGTGAGGGGCTGAGGGCCGTTTTCAGGCTGGTGGGTGACTGAAGTTCCCAACCTCTCCTTTTTTCCTTTTTTTTTAATTTTTTATTCTGGGATTTATTTACATTCTATGGCTGTCACTGGAGCTGAGAGCCGGCTTTAGCTGTGAGACCTCGGCTGCTGAAAGCAGGTTTCTGGGCTTTGTTTACCTTCTGTATTTGAAACTTTGTTGCGACTCCAGCTCTGAGATCCCGGCTGGCTGAAAGCAGGTATCTCGGGTTTTGTTTAGCTTCTATATTTGTAGCAATGTTTCTTAGAGAGCAGCTCAGAGCCCAGCAGCAGCAGGCGGGGAAGCTTGGCTTCCGCCATCACTGGAGCAAGCAAGCCTCCTGTTCGCGTCAGGTGCCTGGCTGCCGGCTGCCATCTTGGTTGGCAGTTAATTTGCATATCGCCCTGATTAGCCAATGGGAAAGGCAGCGAAGTTATGGCTAATTACCATGTTTCTCTTTTATTAGATAGGATGTTATGCCATTGTGGTCTGAGAAGATGCTTGATATGATTTCAATCTTCAATTTGAGGAAACTTTGCTTGTGACCCAATATGTGGTCTATTTTTTAAAATGTCCCATGTGTACTTAGAAGAACATAAATTCCATGGCATTGGGGTGAAATGTTCTGAAGATGTCAATTAAGTCCATCTGATCTAGTGAGTCATTTAGGATTGCTGTTTCTTTGCTGATAATTTTGTCTAGAGGATTTATCCAGTGATGTCAGTGGTGTATTAAAGTCCCCTACTATTATTATATTATTGTCGATCTCTCCTTTGATATCTTCCAGGAGTTTTTTTTAATGTATTTGGTGCTCCTGCATTGGGTGCATATATTTTTTCAGGGTTGTCTCCTCTTGTTATTTCGTTCCCATTAATATTATGAAGTGGCCATCTTTGTCTCTTGTTATGGCCCTTATTTTGAGGTCGATTTTGTCAGATGTAAATATTGCTACCCCGGCTTTTTTTTCTTCATTTCTATTTTCCTAAAAGATATTTTTCCATCCCTTCACTTTCAGTCTGTGTGAATCCCTTGTTCTGAGGTGTGTCTCATGTAGGCAGCATAGATATAGGTCATTTTTTTTTTTATCCATTCAGCTGCTTGATGTCTTTTCTTTGGAGCATTTAGTTCGTTTATGTTTAAAGTTACTGATAGTTATTTGTAGCCATTTTTATTTTTTGTGCCTGTGTTCCTTCTTCCCTTGTTATTTCTTCTTTTTACACCATTCCCTTTAGCATTTCTTGCATTGCTGGCTTGGTAGTGATAAACTCCCTTAGCTTTTTTTTTTGTATGTGAAGATCGTTATTTCCCCTTCAATTTTCAATGATAGCCTTGCTGGAGAGAGTGTTCTTGGATTTAGTCCCTTTCTTTGTATCACTTTGTAAATTTCCTTCCATTCTTTTCTGGCCTGATGTGTTTCTGTTGGGAAGTCATTAGATAATCTAATGGTTTAGAGCCCTTGTACGTAACTTTCTGTTTCTCTCTTGCATCCTGTATGATTCTCTCTTTGTCCTGAACTATTGCCATGGTAATTATGATGTGTCTTGGTGTGGGTCTTTTCAGGTTCATCTTGTTTGGGACTCTCTGTGCTTGCATGACTTTTTTCTTTTTCCACATCAGGGGAAGTTTTCTTTTTTTTTCTAAATATATTACATTGATTTTTTACAGACAGGAAGGGAGAGGGATAGAGAGTTAGAAAAAATTGATCAGCTGCCTCCTGCACACCCCCCACTGGAGATATACCTGCTAACAAGGTACATGCCCTTGACCGGAATAGAATCCGGGACTCTTCAGTCCACAGGCGGAAGCTCTAGCCACTGAGCCAAACTGGTCAGGGCCAGGGAAGTTTTCTGTCATTATTTCTTCAAATGGGTTTTCTAACCATTGTTCCTCTTCCTGTTGTTCTGGCACCCCTATTATTTGTATGTTGATCGTTTCATGTTGTCCCATAGCTCCCTTAGGTTCTCCTGCTGTCTTTTAATTTTTTTTTCCAATTTCAGTTCAGTTTGGTTGTATTCTGCTTCCCTGTCTTCTAATTCACTAATTTGGTCTTCCACTTCTAGTCTACTGCTGAAACATTACATGGTATTTTTTATTGCAGCTATGTCATTCTTTATTTCTTCTTGATTCTTACATAAGTTATTGATTTTTTTCATCCATCCTGTTTATGAACTGTATGACGCTTATTCTGAATTCTTTTTCTGACATATTGCATGCCTCTGTTCTACTTAGCTGCTTATCTGGTGATGCCTCCTTTTCTTTCCTTTGGGGGTTTCTTTGTGTACCCATTTTTTATCTCACCGACAGATCTAGATATGGATTCTTGCAGGCCCTGTTCCTTGGGTGGCAGTGGCTCCTCGGGCTGCATTTGCCCACTGGGCCTTCACAGCAGCAACTGCTTCTCAGTTGGCAGTGGCTCCTATAATGGGTGCTGTTCGCAGCAGTGGTGGCTCCTCTGGTGGGTGGGGGAGGGCTGCTCGCACAGCTGCTGCTCCTCGGACTGGGCAAAGATTTCTTTATATACCCGGTGAAATTTAGAGGTAATTGTGATGATCCAGATATTTAAGGGTTACAGTGACAATATCTTGTTAGGAGTCCTCTTATCAGATGTCTGGATAGCCACGACTCCTTTAGCACCCAGCTGGCGGGAGGCTCCCTGGCGCCCAGCAACCGCTGCACACTATGGGTGAGGCCAGAGGGTAGAATGCTTGCTGGCCTAGCAATAGCCTCACATTCTGCACCAGGACTGGCTTTCATGCTGTGGCCACTGTGGGAGGTGGTTGTCATAAGGACAGAAGTTGTCATGTAGAGTCTGGTGGAGAAATAATCATTTTGCAGTGGCAAATACCTTCAAAAGATGAGTGACCTGAGATTAATTGGAGGCCGAAGAGTAATTCAAATAACAAGAGTCTAGGGTTGGTACATACACGTTTTCTAAACTCTCACCAGGATGTTGTTGTGACCCTCAGTGTGGCCTGGCTGTGGGGAGTTGAAGTTCGTTTTGTGGATTAGCTTAGAGCAGTGATGGCGAACCTTTTGAGCTTGGCGTGTCAGCATTTGGAAAAACCCTAACTTAACTCTGGTTGCCGTGTCACATATGGGAATTTTTTGATATTTGCAACCATAGTAAAACAAAGATTTATATTTTTGATATTTATTTTATATATTTAAATGCCATTTAGCAAAGTAAAATCAACCAAAAAATGAGTTCATGTGTCACCTCAGACATGCGTGTCATAGGTTCGCCATCACTGGGTTAGAGGCTTGAGTGAGACTCACTGGGCATGGTGCAGAGGGCCATCGGGGCTGGGACTTGAGTGAAGGTTAAGTGAGGGATGTTGGCTGTGACTAGTGAAGGGACATCAAGTGCAGCATAACAGGAGATGGGCTATGGATATCTGAGATCTGATTGTTGTTCTTAATAGTTGGGGTTGAAGGAAAAAGAAAAGCAGTCATGGAGAGAGACTTACATAGCACCACTCAAGGCTGCCACTATGAGTGTGGACTATCAGATACTGGGCAGTACGTGATCCTGATTCAGTTTGGCAACCGTCCTCTGGACCACACATGCTGAGTAATAAGTAAAGGCCGGGAGATGAGTATGGGGGCAGGAGCTGTGGAAGTGCAGGTTTGAGAGAGGTGTGGTAGATGGAGTGATGTGCACTTGGAGAGGGAATGTGAATTCATGGCCACAGCACCATGACATTGACATAAGAGTGAATGAAGGAAGAGTCCATTTCTGGTGGTGCCTGGATGGAACAGTAAGGTCAATTTTAGGGTAATTGCCTGTAAAGAGGGGTGTGTGTGTGCCACATTCTAGGTTAAGAGCTTAGGTGCCATTTAACTAACCACCTGCTTTTTGTTGTTGGGAGTGACACACTGGTTGATGGGAATGAGATAGCATTCATCAGTGTTACTCAGGCTTGTAAATCTCCACTGGCATGGGTAAGGGTGAAGGGTAAGAGAGAAATAGATTATGGAGATGGGGACCTATATTTTTGGAAAAGAGGTTATTAGGAAATAATATATCCACGCCACGACAATTTGCACTACCTTTGAAGGTGTGCGTCTGGGAAAGAAGCTGTGTGAGAGAAGTGTTGTTCAATAAGAAGACAGTGGCTTTCGTGGGATGAAGGCCTGGTATTTTCTCGGATGTGAAGCGTGCAAAGAGCACATGGGTGGGGAATATGACAGACTTATAATCTTAGGAGTGAATCTGATCATGGGCTGTACTGTCCCCATTATGACAGGATGTGAACTTTGAGGACGTGGCCATTGCCTTCTCTGAAGTGGAGTGGGTGATCCTGGATGATGCTCAGAGACTTCTGTACTACGATGTGATGCTGGAAGTGTTTGCCCTTGTGTCATCTGTAGGTAAGACCTTCACATTCTCCCAGTGTCCTGAGGTGATGTCCTCTCTTTCTTTACACCTCAGGCGTAGCTTTCTCTCTCCCACAGCCAGAACATGGCCTCTGCTAATGTCCCCCTCTGTCCTGTCAAATGTGCTGTGGCTGCCAGGGATGAGCTGGATGGGGAGCCCTGAGTAAAGGACTCCAGGAACATCCCTAACACCCGTAACCTCAAAAAGTACAGGAAGTGTCAGGGAGTCAAGAGCCTAGCAGTGAGTTTAATGGGTCCCAGCTTGCACTTTCTCTTCATGGGAGGCTGACAGTGTCCACATGCATGGCTTCTACTTCTGCCCTCTTTCTCTTGGTACGCGTTCTTGTGCCACATTATGGTCTTTACCTACATAAACCATGGGCTGTTTTGGTAAGGCCCCCGTTCAAATGTATGTAATATTCTCTTCCCTGAATACTATAGCAAGCTGTTTAGCTCTGGCCCAGTGCAGACTACTCACTTCTTCATCACCTGTTCATCTGCATTGGTGCCTCTGCAGTAATCTGCAACGTTGACTTGTACATGTGATATGTGCATAGAAGTGCTAATTAGTCCTTGAAACCAGCTACTCCTTTATTGTATTTTACTTGGAGTAAGACCTAAACAACTTCTTCCACAGCTCCCCCCCACCCCCCATCCCCGGTAAACAATACCTGCACAATGCTGTTAGTTGAAGGATGGGCTGGAGATCCATATTCTCATCCATGTGGTGCTTGCCATGTTTGTGTCATATTTCTGGTGAGGCCTCCCTGTTTTGTGATCTTCATTAGCGTAGAAAGTCACAAGAGCCTGTTATTAATCCTTCCTGCACATCTCTTATTTTCAGACAATTGCATGGAACCAACGTGTGATGTGTAACACACTTTTGCAATGGGACTTCCCCCTGCCACCACATTCAACATTCATTTCCTCACCATTTCTCACTTTTCAGGTTGTTGGCATAAAATGGAAGATGAGGAGGCCCCTTCTGATCAGCAAGTATGTATACAAGGCAAGTCACAGGTCAGGACTTCTAAGACAGCTCCAGTCACCCATAAGAACCATCTCTGTAAGCAGTGTTTCTCTCTGTTACAACATATTTTGCACCCGACTGGGTCACATGCAGCATACTTTGAGCAGAAAGCCTTCTGTAGCGACGCATGTGTTGGAGAATTCTGTTTCAGTGTAAACCCTCACCAGCAACAAAAGAATGAATGTGGAGAGGGGCCCTGGAAAGAAGCTATGGACGGGGCCTCTTTTGTGAGCAGGTGCAGCTTCTCCTTACCTTCGGTGCCTTCAACCAGCAGGGAGGTTGGGGAAGACTTGCAATCCAACTCAGAGCTTCCCCAGCACCAGGTCACTCTCAACGCTGAGGAGCTACACTGTGGCAGTGAGATTTCACAGGAATTTCTCAGTGGAAAAAGTCATCACCGGTGGGATGAATGTGGAAACGCTGCCAGCCACAACCTGAAAGTTGTTCAGTGTCAGGGTGTGTGTTCTGGAGAACTGATTTATGAATGTAACAGGTATAGGAAAGTGTTTAGACAAAACTTTAATGTCATTCGACACAAGGGAGTTCACACTGGAGAAAAGCAGTATCAGTGTAATGAATGTGGGAAGTTCTTCAGAAAAAGACCTTCACTCATTAGACACCAGAGAGTTCACACTGGAGAGAACATATGTGTGCAAACATTGTGGGAAGTCTTTCAGTTACAACTCTAAACTCAAAAGACACAACAGAGTTCACACAGGAGAAAAGCCATATAAGTGCAGTGAATGTGGGATATCCTTTCGTCAGAAGCCCCACCTCAAGGTACACCTCAGAGTTCACACTGGACAGAAACCATATGAGTGTAGACATTGTGGACAATCCTTCAGCTCCAAGTCTAACCTCAGACAACACAACAGCGTTCACACAGGAGAAAAGCCATATGAGTGCAGTGAATGTGGGATGTCCTTTCGTAGAAGGTCTCAGATCACTAGTCACCTCAGAGTTCACACCGGAGAGAAGCCGTATGAGTGTCGAGAATGTGGGATGTCCTTTCGTAAAAGAGCTAAGCTCAGTGTACACCTCAGAGTTCACAGTGGGGAGAAGCCATATGAGTGTAGAGAATGTGGGAAATCCTTCCGTTACAGGTCTAACCTCAGACAACACAACAGCATTCACACTGGAATAAAGCCATATAAGTGCAGAGAATGTGGGATGTCCTTTCGTATAAAGGCTCAGCTCACTGTACACCTCAGAGTTCACACTGGACAGAAACCATATAAGTGCAGACATTGTGAGAAATCCTTCCATTACAGGTCTGACCTCAGACGACACAACAGCGTTCACACAGGAGAAAAGCCATATAAGTGCAGAGAATGTCGGATGTCCTTTCGTATACGGGATCACCTCACTAAACACCTCAGAGTTCACAATGGAGAGAAGTCATATGAGTGTACAGAATGTGGGATGTCCTTTCGTACAAGGGCTCAGCTCACTGTACACCTCAGAGTTCACACTGGAGAGAAGCCACATGAGTGTACTGAATGTGGGAAGTCTTTTAGCCGAAAAGCCTACCTTAATAAACATCTGAGAGTTCACACTGGAGAGAAGTGTTAAATGTGCAGGGAATGTTTCCTTTTATTCACTTAGAATAACAACAATGAAGGAGACTCTTTGCGACCTATTTTCCTGAATTTAAACCCCTTTTAATGGAACATACACTCTTCTAGATTCCTCATGTTTCCAGTACAGGTGAAGCTTAAACGAGGTGCATTGCACTTTGTAACATGCCCAGGTCTTCTACCCGATTGATGTGTGGCGGAAGAGATTTCACCTCTACCACCTGGCTCACCTGAAGAGTGTGTATCAGTCCCAACTGTTGTGTGCTCAGGAGAAATGTATTCTGTGTTGTCACTTGTGCTTGAGAACATTAAGAACCCTCCGCTCCTGACAGGATCTTCATTTATCTCCGAGGAGGTAATGCACCTGACCCGGGGTTCATACAGGGGACCTTCCAGCTAAGAAGTGTGGCCTCTGTCAGGGACATGTGGTTCTCACATTATGCTGTGATGAATTGTTTCAAATTCTGATTCACCAACCTGCAAACCGCCTTGTCCCGTTTTCTGGTTTGTGATCTTTAGTAAAGGTATTTTTTCTTTAGTACCTTTAATTTTCTTGGTTATATTCACCCCCAGGGATGATTTTCATGCACTATTGTGGTCTACGTTGTATAATTTACAGATATTGTGTGGATCCCAACGTTTCTGTGCTTTAGGAGGGACAGCATAGAGCCAGGAAATCACTCTTTGACCAATATTGGCTTTTAGTGCATTGCTGCCCACGGCCTTGAAATAAAGACTGCGTGACTTTGTGGTTCTTATTTGCAGGTTTGATCCTGGCCCCATGGAGCTTTGTAGGAGGCATCTAATTTTTCCTTCTCTCTCACATTGATGTCTCTCCCAGTCTTTCCCTTCCTCTCCCCCTCCCCTGGCACTCTGTCTGAAAATCAATGAAAAAATATCCTCAGGTGAGGATTACCAAAAACTCCAAACATTCACCCTGGTGCCCTGAGATGGGGCCTCTGCCGGCATAACCCACCTTTGCTCACTCCTGCATTTACCTGGGATGTTCCCACTGCAGGTGGGCTCACTGTGCCCTTCCCAGTGTTTGGCAGAGAGGCAAGGCCCTGGGAGGGATTGGGGTTCTGTGTGTGCCTGAGATGCACTGGCCAGGGCTCTTCTGTCTCCATCCAGAGGTCTCTCCAGCCTGCTCCTCCCCACCCGCCAGGCACCTGGCCTGCTGCAAATGAACCTACTTCTGTATCTGGGAGAAGCCCCCTGATGCTATGGGCCCTGAAATCAGTTCACCTTTAGAAAATCCTGCCTCCCGCCAACCCATTCACACCCCTGAGACCGACTGGTGTTTACGTCTCTTTTTCTTCATTTTAGGGATTATTTTGCACTTTATTGAAAATACAGCACACCTCTTCCCTACCCCCTCACCCAGCCGTCCTGGAGGTAGCGTGTATTCTCCAGGATATGGTTTTGTTTATTTTCTATGGTGGGAACATTCTGTAATACAAGCATTAAAAGAAGGAGAAGTTTGGTCTCAATATAATTCCACATTTGGAGGATGATTTGTGGTTGGTGTGCCCCCGCCCCCTAAGTTTTGCCTGTGCATGGAAGACCTGAAATGAGGGCATAGTTCCTGGATTCTGGGCAATAGTGTGCTGCTGGGGGGTGCGGTTGAGGGGGCAGATAGTTTGGGTGCCTGTGAACATGTTCCTGCCAGCTCATGGTCCAGGTTCCTTGAGCGGGTGGGGTGAGGGAAGGCTGTAGGGATGAGAACTTGAATCAGGCTGGATAGAGGCTCAGCAGCCATGGGTGGGCATAAGGAACACATATAAAGACTGTGGCTTTGGCCGACACCGGTTTGGCTCAGTGGATAGAGCGTCGGCTTGTGGACTGAAAGGTCCCAGGTTCGATTCCAGTCAAGGGCATGTACCTGGGTTGCGGGCACATCCCCAGTAGGAGATGTGCAGGAGGCAGCTGATGGATGTTCCTCTCTCATTGATGTTTCTAACTCTCTATCTCTCTCCCTTCCTCTCTGTAGAAAATCAATAAAATATATTAAAAAAAAAAAAAGACTGTGGCTTTGGATACTGTTGAGCTCAACTGTTTCAGATTCCCCAAATACAGAGTCCCCTGTCCTTGGGAACTGGCATCTAGTGGAGTACAGTACACAATGGACCAGGATACCTGTGAGAGGTGATAGCAGCGATGCGGGGAGGTGAAACCAGCGTTGGTCAGTGGGGGTCTTCACTGCGGAAGTCTGGGAAGGGTTGGCAGGCTCCAGGTGGGAGCCTGCCCTGTGCATTTGCGAGCTGTACGGAGGTCACTCTGGCTGGTTTTAACAGCAAGGATCAGAAAGTGGTAAAAATAAAATAAAATAAATGGTGGCCGAATAGGCTGATGTATTGTGCATCTCATCCTGAGCCAAACTGGAAATACAACTAAATCAAAGAGCACCCGCTTGTTATTAACAAATTACATGCAGCTGAGCAGACAATTTACAATCAGGAAAGATGCCCAGGGAATGGCAAGAACTGGGAAGTGGACTTGACAGACACAGAATGAGGTGCCATAAAAACTGACCCCACAGAAATACAAGGGACTGTAAGAAAATACTATGACGGACATTATTCCAACAAACAGGACAACCTGGACAAAATGCCCATATTCTTAGAAAAATACAACCTTTCAAAGCTCATTCAGGAAGAATCAGAAAACCTGAAAAGACCAATAACTACCAATGAAATTGAAGCAGTAATTAAAACCAAAAACTCCCAGCAAATAAAAGGTCTGGTCCAGATGGCTTACTGAAAGAGTTTTACCAAACATTCAAAGAACTAACAACTATACGCCTCACACCATTCCAACAAATCCAAGAGTATACAACACTTCCAAGCTCGTTTTAGAAAGCCAGCATTATCCTAATTCCAAAACCAGATAAAGATATGGCAAAGAAAAAGAACTACAGGCCCTAACCAGTTTTCTCAGTGGATAGAGCGTTGGCCTGCGGACTGAAGGGTCCCAGGATCGATTGCAGTCAAGGGCATGTACCTTGGTTGTGGGCACCTCCTCAGTAGGAGGAGTACAGGAGGCAGCTAATCAATGTTTCTCTCTCATTGATGTTTCTAACTCTTTATCCCTCTCCCTCTCTGTAAAATATCAATAAAATATATTGAAAAAAGAAAAAGAACTACAGGCCAATATCCCTGATGAACCTGGACACTAAAGTCCTTGACAACATTTTAGCAAACCAGGTCCAGCGATACAATAAAGACATCAAACGTCATGACCAAGTGGGATTTATTTTGGGGATGCAAGGGTGGTACAATATTCGCAAATCAATTAATGTGATACAGCACATACATAGATTGCAAGACCAAAAGAAATAAATAAACCAGATTGTAAAAGAAATCACATTATCATATCAATCGATGCAGAAAAAGCATTAGACAAGAATCCAGCACCCTGTTTTAAAAAAAAAAAAATAACTCAGCAAAGTGAGAATAGAAGGGACATACCTCAACATAACCAAGGCCATATATGACAGACCTACAGCCAACATCCTACTCAATGGGCAAAAATTAAAACCATATCCCCTAAGAACAGGAACAAGACAGAATATCCGCCTTCACACTCTTGTTCAAATTGTACTGGAATTACTGGCCATGGTGATCAGACAAGAAGAAGAAATGAAAGGCATCCAAATTAGAAAGAAGTAAAACTCATTCACAGATGACATGATATTGTACCTAAAGATGCAATAAAAAAACTACTAGATATATTAAATTCAGAAACGTAGTAGGATTCAAAGTTAGCAACCAGAAATATGTCATTTTTACACAACAATTGTGAACTCTCAGAAATAGAAACACACACACACACACACAATCCCATTAACCATTGCAACAAAAAATGAAGATATTTAGGAATAATCCTAACCAAGGAGGTAAAAGACCTATGCTCCAAAAAATAGAGGACATTGAAAATAGAGATAGATATCAACCAAGGGACTTGTGTGCATGCATATAAGCATAAGCAATGGATACAGACACCGGGGGGTGAGTGGGGGTATGGGGGGCAATGGGGAGATAAGGACACATTTTTAATATCTTAATAAAGAGAAAAACAGAAAATAGAGATAGAGGAAGATATAAACAAGTGGGAAAATATACTGTGTTCAAGGATTAGCCGAATAACATCATTAAAATGTCGCTATTACCCCAAGCAGTCTACAGATTCAATGCCATTCCTATTAAAACACCAAAGGCATATTTCACAGACCTAGAATAAACACTCCAAAAATTTACATGGAACCAAAAAAGACCCCAAATAGCTGCAGCAATCTTGAGAAAGAAGAACAAAAATGGAGGGATCACAATAGCAGTTATCAAGTTATACTACAAAGCCACTGTAATCAAAACAGCCTGGTACTGCCACAAGAACAGGCATGTCGTTCAATGGAACAGAATAGAGAACCCAGAAATTGACCCAAGTCACTGTGCTCAATTTTTCACAAGGGAGGCAATATAGTCTGTTTCGTTGTGTTGGTAAAATTGGACAGGTACATGCAAAAAGATTAAACTAGACAACCAACTTACACCATACACAAGAAAAAACTCAAAATGAATAAAAGTCTTAAATGTAAGAGGTGGAACCAAAAAAAGAAAGTCCTAAAAGAAACCATAGTCCATGAATCTCAGATATCTCTCATAGCAATATGTTTACCGATACAGCTCCTAGGACAGTGAACCTATAACACGCGTGTCAGAGGTGACACGGGAACTCATTTTTTTGGTTTATTTTTCTTTGTTAAATGGCATTTAAATATACAAAATAAATATCAAAAATATAAGTCTTTGTTTTACTATGGTTGCAAATATCAAAAAATTTCTATATGTGACACAGCACCAGAGTTGAGTTAGGGTTTTTCAAAATGCTGACACGCCAAGCTCACAAGGTTCGCCATCACTGTCCTAGGACAATGGAAACTAAGGAAAAAATAAACAAGCGGGACTATATGAAAATAAAAAGCTTTTACAAGCAAAAGAAATCATTAGCAAAACAAGAGAGTATTACATGGGAGAACATATTTGTCAATGTTACATCTGATAAGGGGTTAAGCTGCAAAACATATAGGAAACTCACAAGTTAACAAAAGAAACACAAACAATCCAATTAAAAACTGGGCAAATGACCCAAATAGACACTTGTCCAAAGTGGACATACAGAAAGCGAAGAGATCAATGAAAAAATGCTCAGAGTCACTAATCATCTGAGAGATGCAAATAAAAATGAAAATGAGGTATCATGTCACACCTGTCAGAATGGCTACCATCAACAAATCAAACAAAAAGTGCCGGTGAGGAAGTGAAGAAAAGGGAACCCTCGTACACTGCTGGTGGGAATCCAGACTGGTGTAGCTGCTGTGGAAAAAAGTATGGAGTTTCCTCAAAATACTAAAAATGGAACTCCCATTTGACCCAGTAATCCCACTTCTAGGAAAGTATCCCAAGAAATCAACAACACCAATTAGGAAGAATATATGCATCCCTATATTCATAGCAACACAATTCTCAAGATTTGGAAACAGCCCCAATGCTGAGTGGATTAGAACACTGTGGTACATCTACACAACAAAATACTACACTACTATGAAAAAGAATGCTTACCATTGACAACAGCATGGATAGATCTGGAGATCATTATGCTAAGTGAAATAAACCAGCTGGAGAAAGATAAGTTATCACATGATCTCACTGAAGGTGGACTCTATCTAATGAGCAGCATAAACTGATGAACAAAAG